CCTGTAGATATAAAGAACAGTGTAAACATAAACGGAGATATAATTCATGCATTTCTCCAGGAATATATAATTTTATACACAACAGGAAAAAATGCAATAAATTTTTACACAGTTTGTCAGTGATTCTTCTTAAGAAGAAAATGTCAAAGATAACCCAGAAAAAAGAAAATGTCAAAGATAACCCAGACAGCACAGAATATTTATGATAAATATTCATAAACATTTATTATTATTTTTATGTGTGTATAATTAATATGAGGAGATAAAAGAAAGAAAGAATCATATTTTCTGTCGAAACAGGTCTTGTTGCTAATAATATTTAATATGTAAAATATTAACAATTATATTTTTCGGTGCTATAAACTACGCCGATAATTTGTCGAACTTAAATGCAACTATAAAGCTGAAATAATATTAACATGACGTTTAAAATTAATTTGTGACATTATTTTCAGCTTCAGTTTATGACTGCATTTAAGGCCAATAAACAATCGGCACGCAGTTTATAGTGCTGAAAAATGTACACTCAGAGAAAAAAGTCGTATCAGTAACTATAAATTTGTAGTGAAATAGCGCCTCAACTATATACATATTATTAAATTCTAATAAGAATACTAGATGAAGTGAACTAAGAAAATGTACTATATAGTACATTAACGATTTATAAATGGTTAATATTACTATATTTTCTTAGTTCACTTAATTTACTTATTGTTCTTATTAAAGCTTTATAATACATAGTTATAAATTTGTGTATGCATTTCTTATTTATTTTTGTCTTCCAAGTTTAAAACCAACGCTGAGCCTCTTATTGTAAGCGAGTGGTTTCCTTCTTAGGAGAAACTGAATTCGATCAAAGATAGAATTCTTTCTTTCTTATTGGATTTATTCATATCGGACTAATTTCGATTAATATTAATATGAGAAGTATTCATACAAGTCCCTTAAAATTTTTTGAAAATATCTTTTACATTTCTTTATATATGTTTATCTCCGTTATGTTATATGTATACTTATTTGTGCAATATATAATTTATAATATATAATATATAATACATAAATCATAAATTTATATTGATATAAAGGACAGTGTAAACATAAACAGAGATATAATTCATGCATTTCTGCAGGAATATATAATTTTATACGCAACAGGAAAAAAATGCAATAAATTTCCACACAGTTTGTCAGTGACTCTTCTTATTTCAAGCGCGCGCGCGCGCTTTGAGCGTTACCGACTCAGCGTCGATAAGTCCAGCCACTACTATGACCCAGCGAATTAATGCTCCGCACTGTACATGGTAAAGTTTAAGTAAACAGATTTTTAATTCTAGTTTGTCACACTCCAATCTAATGAATTACTGAAATGTCCTCTTTTTGTAGTTTATTTTAACATTACGTAACAAACTTCTATATGTGAAATTAGATATAATACTTTTCTTCGTTCCAACTAACTAATAAAGCGCGTAAACTCGTTACAATCCTCCTCGTCGGATCCATTTTAATGACCTCATAAGTATTCTCATCCTGAAGCATCTCATTTACCTTGGAAATATACACCTGTCTATTCAGCCTACTCTTATCCGCACGAGTAAAAATAACCCTGTCATTCATATCCCTTAAAAAGATCCTAGTGTCTTTCGCTAACTGTGACAAACTCCTATCTATCTCCGTACAATGTAAGGAACAAGAAGCTAAGTTATTTAAAACAGAAGTGAGTGGTTCGAGATCGAGTTCATCAATAGGCAACTTGTAAATATTATTTTCAATACACTTAATAAGATCGACCGTTAAATTTAATCTATTATTCAAAGGTAAGGCAAAGTTATCTCCCAATTGTAAAAAGTTCTGTATATTTGGAGGTATGGAAACAGTTGACAGATTCACGAACTAGCCATTCCTTTGTGAGATAAATGAAGGAGAAAGAATCAATGGAAGAAACTAACAAAAACTCCTTATAAATCAAAAGAAATTGGATGATAGTAATGTTTGCGATATGGTACTTTGTGATCACGGTGAGCGTCCTTATTTTGGGATAATTAATTATAATCTTAAAGTTTTTTGATAAATTAGTTTTCCATATTCTCTATTTCGATATTTCCAATATTTCCTTTCTTCTTCTCTTTTTCTTTCATTTCTATTTGGATTTAATTTCTGGCACTTATATTCTCGATGTAGGGGAGCTCACCATGACAAGATAACTTTTATTTACAGTTTATATATGTTAGTTTGTGTTGTCTCTGAAGAAGGCTCAAAAGTGAGCCGAAACATGTAAGCGTTTAATAGAATAAAGAAGTTTTACGCTTTATGGGTGTATTATTTGCGCGACGTCTTCTGCGCTTGACTCCTATTGCCCTTATTCTTTCCAATTTCTTTTAATATTAAATCTTCTTAATTCTTCTCCAGCGACGGCATTTCTAAGTATGGGATATCCGCGGGATCACTTTGTCATTATGGGACGATTTGGGATATCCACAGGATAAAGTGTGCTGTGTGGGATCATTATTTTTGTACACTATCGAAATAGTACTTAGAAATGCCGTAACTGGAGAAGAGTTAAGAAGATTTAATATTATTTGTATAACATAAAACAAAACGTCAATGTAGACTTATTGCGCAACTAAGTTCCCGCTGTTTGTCAATAGATGATTTCAGCAGTAAGTGCTGGTCGATTCTGACATAATCTAAACGTCATGAACCAAGCTTAGACATATGGTAAACAAACCGCTTCGACACATTAGTGATTTTGTTTTGACGTTATATTCTTTTGGTTGTGTGAAAATGTCTGATTTTGTGCCAAATAATCGTCATATGCGGGAAGTATTGATTTTCTTCTTTCATTCGAAGAAAACGGCGGCTGAAGCGCATCGAGAGCTCCAAAAAGTTTACGGAGATGCTGCTCTAAGTGAAACAACGTGCCGAGATTGGTTCCGTCGCTTCAAAGACGGTGATTTCGATGTTGACGACCGTCCGCGTGAAGGAAGGCCAAAAACCTTCGAAGACGCTGAATTGGAGGCATTGCTCGATGAGGATCCGTGAACAACTGCTCCAGCGGCAAAAAAGAAAGGGTTTTCTTCATCGCATCGTGACGGGTGATGAAAAATGGATTCATTACAGCAACCCAAAGAGAAGAAAGTCATGGGGGCTGCCCGGTCATGCTTCTACGTCGTCGGCTCGGCCGAATATTCACGCTGCGAAGGTTATGTTGTGTATTTGGTGGGACCAGGTCGGTGTTATTTATTATGAGCTGTTGAAACCGAACGAAACCATCACTGGGGAACGGTATCGACTTCAATTGATGCGATTGAGCCGATCACTGTGCGAAAAACGGCCACAATACGCGGAGAGGCACGAAAAAGTGATTCTACAGCATGACAACGCTTGGCCTCACGTTGCAAAACCCGTTAAAACCTATCTGCAAACGCTGAAATGGGAAGTCCTACCCCACCCGCCATATTCTCCAGATATTGCGCCGTCCGATTATCACTTGTTCCGTTCAATGGCACATGGCCTGGCTGACCAGCAGTTCGACTCATATGAAGACATCAAAAAATGGCTTGATTCATGGATAGTCTCAAAAGATGAACAGTTTTACCGTAACGGTATTCGAGCTCTGCCAGAAAGATGGGAAAAAGTAGTAGCTAGCGATGGGCAATACTTTCAATGATTCATTTGTAACCATTTTTTCACAATCAAGTTGCATTTTCATCAAAATAACAGCGAGAACTTAGTTGCGCACCTATATAATTTTCTATTTCCAATTAAATATATTATAATATTTTGTTCTCTATTTTCTTCTTTCCACCGATTTGCATTAAATACTTTTTCGCGCTCGGATCAGCAATTATTCGTACGATGCATATATCCACACATCCGATCTATACTGGTAAGTCGATAATTAGATGTGCAGTCGATAATTTTCTCATAAGGTAAAAAGCTGGTTCAAACGACTCTGATTCACCCTGTATATATGAAAACTAACTCATTTCATCAGAACACAATTTACAATTAATTAATGTAGAATGTGTCTACTAATTCATCTATTTTTAAAATAGTAGATACTTTTCATAAAAGCATGACTTAAAAGTAAACATTCAGAGACGACATAGTGTTTTATGATAAGTGATACACATATGTATAAAAGGAATGTCTATACATATGGTATGGCAATAAATTTCGGAATGTTATGAGAAAGTAAACACTACTTAATTAATACAAACCTTTATCGTTCTTCGAAGTAAATCTTCTAGAGACAATATACACTTCTGACAACGTTTGTACAGCTTGCGGAAACTCTAAAGTCCGGTTTTTCATTGTCTGGTTAATTTGTGGTTAAGCTTAACCTAATGTTTTATCTAATGAGCTTCATCTGTGATGATGTCATAGATACTTATCATAAAACACTTTGTCGTTTCTGAATGTTTGCTTTTAAGTCATGCTTTTATGAAAAGTATCTAAGCCTAAGAAATAAGCCATCTACGAAGTTTGGATATCATATTAAATTTATTGTCATTGAATGTCTGAAATGTTTGTAAAGTCCCTTTCATCGTCTTCTTTAGTTTAAGGAAAAAAAATCTGCGACAGAGCAGAATCGTGGGAACAAAGAGAGTAATTCAAAATCGTAATAGAACGCTGACTCAAGAATTGCACATTGCCGTATACATTTTGAACCACGTGACGTGATAAGATTTGATGCGATATCCAAAGATGATTTTTCGTAGAGTTTCCGCAAGCTGTACGAACTTTATCAGAAGTGCATTGTCTCTAGGGGACATTACTTTGAAGGACGATAATGGTCATTTGTATATTAATTAAGGGATGTTTTTTCGTTTTCTCATAAAGCATCACCGCTTTTCATAATTCACAAATCGCAAAACGTAGATCATAAACGCAAACGCAAAATGAAGATTTGCACTACAGCGACTGAATTGATTAATGATAGAACGGCAAAGAGTGGCTGAAATGAATTTTGTATTTGCTTAATTTATCTGCAAAGAGATATCTGTTATATAAATTCTCGCGATGCAGAAAATATCAGACATGTAGTAAGTTTTTCTAATCTGAAATTCTCTGATCTGAAAAATTCTTAAATAAAAACATCGTCGTTCTAAATTATCAATGTTATCGCAGTTCAATTTTCGCGTGATACGTTCTACATCCACGTTTGCGAATTACGTTTTGCGATTTGCGAACTATGTAGAGACAGCTTAATATTCACTAAATTTTAATCAAAATAATATAAAAAATAATTTAATTAAATTTCACTAAATTTTATTATCATATTATGAATATATTATATTTATGAATATATTAATTTATTAGGCATTTATCAGATTTTATTAGGTTGCTGGAACTATTTTTAGATATATTACAAACAAGTATTACAAAGAATTATGTAAAGAACAAAACTAAACTTTAAGCTGCCTTTACATAATTCGCAAATGGCAAACACAGACGTAAAATGATGTATCATCGCACGCAAGATACACACATGCGATCTAACCGTACAATGAATTGAATATGTTAATTAATATTTATATTTTAAAGCGTTGATTTTTTTTATTTAAATCAGATTAGAGAAACTTATTATGTGTCTGATATTTTTCATATCACAGAAATTTATAAAGAGCTTGAGTTTTTGCGAATAAATGCGCAAATATGAAATTTATTGTCTATACTATATTTATTGCCTATACTACTTTTTGCTGTTCTGTCATTGATCAATGCAGTCGTTGTAGAAATTAACGTGATAATCCAGTTCAATTTACATAGATCGTTATTTGCAAAATACAGATTTTGTTGAACTTTACAAAGATTATAATTTGCAAATTATGTAGAGGCAGTTTACATTTTTTATGACTAGAAATAACCTTGTAAAGTGATACCATTTATATATATTACTATGTATTTACTAGGTATATTACTATGAATTTTCATAAATATGCTTACATGTTACATAATCAGGAGTCACATTAGTCTCGGTACTAGAGTTGATGTGTAATGTATGTTACGTAATCAACAAGTTATAAAAGCACAGTTAAAAAAGCAGTACCACTTATTAGAGCTAGAAAAACAGTTATTTTTAATCGAATGAAAAACTAATGAAGATAGTGTTTTTAACTAACAATTAAATAATTTATTATTTTTCATGTTCATCATTAAAACATGTAAAATCTACATACTTTATAAGTGATTATATTTAAATTGAAAACTGTGATTTTTTCATAATTTTTTCATTCTGTTAAAAAATTCGTGTAATACCTATCTAAAGGTTGCTTTGCGTATAATTTATATCATGAATAAAAATGTGATTGCATTTTAAAAATAAAATCTTGCGATATTTTATTCGTATCATGGATAATAAAAGTCAAAGGAATATGAATATAAAAAAAATTGTAGATTGGATGAAACTTACTTGGAATCTAAATCATTTGGATCACACGTATATATGTTGTGTATATGTAATATAGTTTCGATGTATCTTTTAAAAGCTGCACAGGTTGAACTACTTCGTTTTGTATACAAGAGCACCTGTTAAGAGACAAAAAATTTAACGTATGATAAATAATACTTTGTTATTTTTTTACAATAAATTTTATTTAACATAATAAATTCTAAAGGTAATACAACATAAAACTATTTTCTATTTTCATGTTGAGATAATGGTTTAATCGAAATGTGTGATAATAAAAAGATGTCGTTTGTACTGTACAAAATTAATAGGATACTATACAATAAGAATCGATTACTATACAAAAATAATTATTTTAATATACTTATACAGGGTGTTTGGAAAGTAATGAAAAATCTTTCGCATAGAGGCAGAATGGACTAAACTGAGAAGAAAAGTCCTCTACCATTTTACAATTTTTGCAATAGTTAACAAGATACTAATTACTAAAAATCGTCGAAAATTGGTCTTCAATAATTTTTTATTCAAATACTATCAATTTTACAGAAAAACTGAACAGAAAAATTGTTTATTTTCTTCTCATAAAGTTCTAAAAATTTTTTCAGAATTTTTTATCAACTTTTTACTACTGCATTTTCTTATTTTTACCAATATGAGAAAATACGATATTAAAAAAATTCTGAAAAAATTCTCAGAACCTTATAAGAAGAAAATAAACAGTTTTTATCTCTTATAGTTTTTCTGTAAAGTTAATAGTATTTGAGTAAAAAATTATTGAAGACCAATTTTTGACGATTTTTAGTAATTAATATCTTGTTAACTATTGCGAAAATTGTAAAATGGTAGAGGACTTTTCTTCTCAGATTATTCCATTCTACCCTTATGGGAAAGATTTTTCATTATTTTCCAAACACCCTGTATATTGTTAATAAAATTTATAAAATTTTAATACCTTTAGTATTGTTTCCACTGCAAATACTACAATAACTCCTACTGTGGCTGCTGCTACCAATGACATTAAGTTTCGCTTATAAAAGTTTTGAGCTCTAAAATTATAGATATTAGGTTTTAAGAAATATGAAACAAAAACAATGCTTAAAAGATTATTATAAAACTGAAAATAAATATCTGATTTACGTAAGTTATATTGCATTAACATTTGTGTAATATACAAAATATTCGAAAGTTTTCTGAATTTTTAAATATTATCAATATTTATACAAACGAACGTTTATACATAAATATTGAAAAATATAAATATTTTATAAAAGCGTAGCATTACGGTCAAATACTTAATAGTTCTATATTTTTATTTTTGTATATAATTTATTTTTAAATAATTTATTAATTTCTTAGATGTTTCAATTTATGTTTAATAAAAAAAATGTCTTTCTTCCGTATTTTATTGCAATGATTGTTACTATCGGAATGGAATTGGAATTTTAATATTTTAATTCAATTTAAATAATTACACTTTGTATAATTGTTTATTGTACCATTCTGGAAGATCATTGGGTGTTACATCGGTTGCTTCCGGATCGATTACACTCTTATCTTCTAGGATTAATTTGAAATGTTCATCCACCGTCCGTGGTTGGACTGCAACATACGTGTTATATATATATATATATAAAATAGAAAAATAGAATCAGATAATTTGAAAAATCGTATAATAAACAATTTTATTGGTAATTGTTCGGATTAAGGGACACCGCGCCGATAACCTTATTTAATCTTTAAAAATCTTACGTTTTTTTTTTTAAATTTGTTATAATTCATTATTTCATAGAATTCCTGGTTTTAAAATATTAAACTGTTTCAGCATTACTATATGCCTTTTTCACTGTTATTAAAAATGTATTGCAAATGTTATTTTACATTCTATATTAGAATTTTGAATAAAGCAGTAACATATTTTTTCACTTTTTGATAGTTATTACATTTGAATATTTTTGTGTGCAAAATAATTAGCAGAATTAGTTAATAAGTTGCGGAAACTTATCAATTTTTGAATAAATCATTTTTATTTAACACAAGGTCTTAAATTAACATTATTGAATAAATTATTCAAATTTATCAATCATATATATTTTATTCGTAAAGTAAATATATAAATTTGAGCTACTTAGTCTAACAAAAGTTTTGTCCTCTTTGACTTATTATTTCACTATATAAGTAGGGGAAAGTTGCCGAATGCGAACTGGTCGCCTAAATCGTACCTCATCAATATTTTATATTATCAGTTAATATAGGCAATATTTAGTAACAATAATATAAAATATATGAGAAATTAGTAATATAAGCAAAAATATAATAGCCTACGTCTTGTTTTATGGATATTAGCGGCGTTTTAAAAAATCAGGTACATTTGATATTAATTTTTAATCAACTTATGTAGTTGATAACAGCGCGATCATCCAATTTTATTATAAATTTTTGTATTTTCATGAAAGATTTATTGTAGAATATTTTACATTCACTGTATATACATATTTGCAACTATTGTAAACATTAAATCGATATTTTTACAAAATCCATCAAATTTCCTAAATCATATTATTAAAAGATAAGACTGATAACTGACAATAATAAAACTAATAATTGATATCAATGTAAATGTTAGGTGCAAAAATATATTTAAGCCAATTTTATTTTGATGTTATTTGTTTTTTCATTATTGTTATTTAATAATTATAAAATATTTGATTTTCTTCAATAAATTATTAAAATTAGGTATTAATTAATTATTAGGTATTAGTTAATGATTTCTTTTATTAATCTTATACTTTTAATTGTTTTCATTCATAAATTCAATACTTTCAAATTTAAGGAAATATGATAAAAAGTACCTGTAGGTAGTACGATTTAGGTGATTGGTTGCCTAAATCGTACCTTTTGCAGCATGTTACAAAAAGACTTATAACAAATGAATTTGTTATTGGTGGAAAGTAAAACATGTAATAATAAGCGTCCCTACGATTTCTGTTCATTTGCATACAAAACAATGCCAAATGGAAAATATAATAAAAAATAGGTTAAGTGGTACGCATTCAGCAACTCTCCTCTATTGCACTATGTAAAGTCTTTTTAAAGACGCACGAAAGGCAAAAAATAATTTAAAAAATACTTATTTATTCATCTATAGTTATTCAAAATTACTTTAGATGATTTTATTTTAATACTACACTGAAAAAAATGCATGTTGCCTAAATATGATTGGAAATTTACAATTTCCAGTAAATTTCCAAGCATATTTATGCAATTTAAATAATTTTCCAGTCATGAACATGTAATTTCCATGTAAAATTACATGCATTTTTTTCAGTAGAGGAAAGTCGCCGATACTGACATAAGTCTCCTAAAGCGATACTCCCTTATTTCTCATAAACTAATTATTGCACTTTATTAATACTAATAAAAAATCATGATCTGTTTAGCTAATTAGAAGAAGTACAAACTCATAATTTGTATATTTGTGGTTTATTTCTATATCAAATCAGCTAAAAACGAATTCTACGAATGCGAAAATAGAATTCTTACGATTTTTTTTTTGCAAATTGCGTAGTTTAAATAATAGTGACTATATTATATTAAGTTGTTTTAAATGCTTGTAGTTTCCTAAATCAGTTTTATTTATATTATTTCTTCTCATAGTTTTTTCATAATACGATTTTAAATTAAAAATTGTGGTGTAGCGTAAACCGCCACACCTGTCTGTAAAACAGACCATGAGCTAACTTAATCTTTATAACGTTGTTTTATAGTATCCAATAGCTCTATTGGAACTGAAGGCAATCGTGTATATATGGAAAAACTCTTGAAAAACTATCGTGTTACATATTTGCATCTTGCAGAACAGCATAAAGTAAATATACATATAATTCAATAAAAATGTTTTATAACGAAGTGAAAGGATTCTGGAAAATCTTATATACATTCACTTATAGGTACTTTATACTAGATAATTCCTGTAAAAGAGAAAAAATAGGAATACGTAGCATTAATGCCTACTGTGTCAATTTTGACATGAACCCATTTTTGCTTATCTTACGAAAAAATTAATTATTGCAAAATTGCAAACAGTATTATTAAAACTGCTTATACTATTTAATACAAGACACTTTTTAATTTGTATTTATGTTTTAAAAATTTTATTTTTACCTTTTATAAGAAATATTGTCTAAAAACAAAGTGATATGTTGGTACCGATAACTTTCCTTTAATATTTAAAATATTCTACCATTTTTTGCAAGCACTTTTTCGTCTCCCACCTTTAGAGTTCAGTGACACTCAATCAGGCCTAAGATAAATAGAATTAGAATCCATTGTAATGATGCAATGATTTACGTTGAGTGTCACTGAATTCTGAAGGTGAAAGATGAATAAGATACTTGCGAAAACAGAGAGACATTCTTGGAACTGTTCTTTGCACAAAGGCAACATACTTTCACTCGATACATTTCAAGTTATAATGAATTTCAATTATTCAATAAACGAATTCAAATAACGCGTCACTTTATAATTCTTCTACAATATATTTAGGTTTCAAATAAAATAAAATATAATTTTACAATGTATTTGTTTAGTAATTTTCTGAACTCTTTACACATATTAGATGTAGAAAGGTTTTAGCTAATTAAAATTTAAATCATACAATACGAAAGAGCAATAAGCCAGTTGTTCTTGCGATTATATTAGTATAATTTAACAAATTCGATTACTATACAGACTACGAAATAGTACAAATTAGAGTATTAATTATTATAAACAAAATTGCCAAGAGTATTAATTAGAGTATTTAACACATTCGAAACAATACATATACATTTTAAAGATTTATTTTAGTTTAATCAATGTATGATTTAATTTATTTGGCATAGAATGAACAAAAATCGGTGACGAAATATCCTGAATATGGATATATTAGGGCACTATTGATGCATTCATCTGCATAATAGATGATATTTTGATCACTCTATCATAATTGAAATTATATTCGGTTTAATTTTAAACTTTGAACTTTGAACGTTGAAACTTTTTAAGGCACACTTTTCTCTTCTAATAATAAGATGTAGTTCTTGAAACTCAGAGAGCCACTGCTTCGATCAAAAACCATTCTTCCTGTGTTTAACACATTTAATTAATTAAAAATAATAAAATCTTGCTTTACCGTCGTCAATATTCTTCCTCATTTCACTTTATATATTTTTATTAAGTCACAATCAACAAAAGATTTTGCAATAGGTCAGACAAAATACGAGTATAGACTGCAGATCAGAGTAGTGCGTGTATGCTTGCTCAACGAACAACTTGATACTAAAGAATTTGCTACATTCAGCGTTCTTCACTAGCGTCCTCTTTTTGTACGAGAGCAGGTGCGTCATTCTTAATATACTGCTTGTTTTTTTTGCTGAGTCTAATTTTTCGATACTTTAACCTTAATACTTTTATGTACAGAACAATTAGAGGAATCATATTATGTAATCAAAATTAATTTTATTTAAAAAGTGACAATAACTTTCATATGATCTTAAAAAATTGATTTTACTATTATTTGCACTCTTATAATCCATACAATTTTTTTTTTTTTTTTGAATGAAATATATTTCTGTAAAACTAAAATTTCGATAAAACGACCACAATAGCCAACATTACATCATACTTCCCAAGAAAGTATAGAAAAGCCATAGAAATACAAAAACACCCTAACAATCTAAATAGAGATGATGGCTACAATATAAATAAAATATGGAAGACCATCCTCCCGACTATTGAAAACTGGCCGAATTCCTTTCCCCCCCTTGACTCACAATTTTCTTCTCCCCCCCTCCTCCCCCCCACACAAGCAACGTAATATAAAAGGAACGGAACAGCTTAGTATCAGACTGCTCCTCGCCCTAATGAAGTGAACTGCAAGGTTGGCATTCCAAGAATGGATCTAAACACGGAGAAAACCCGCGAAACGCAAGATTGTCAAATAATTTTATTATGTATAATAATATTATTGTTACTGTAGCGTTAAGAGTACAATTGTTAAATACAGATCGATCAGGCTCCTTAAATAGCTTTCGAGTATTTTATCCTCTAATTTTACTTTAATATTATCAAAATTGATTTTGATTTAGTTTAGTCGCTCACGCGCTGTAATTTTCATTCTATCTTTGTGATTTATATCAGCAGGTAGATGTGAAGATGGAATGAAGCTTTCCTGGCAGAATAATTTCTCTGCTATTTATATGTATATTATTTCTTTGTAAAAGCGGTTTGTGAAAAAAAATGAGAGTAATAGCAGAGAAGTTTGTCCATAAATCATATTAGCAGATAAATTAACGAGGAACTATAGACAAAATTGCCAAGAAAAGGCGGACAAATTTTAAACATTGTAGAGAAATTAGCAGAGATATTTTTGTGCATTTTCTTTGCAAACCAATTTGCAAAGAAACTGAAAGGAAATTAAAGACAAATTTTCGCAGTAAATAACAAAGAATTGGCCAAGAAACTGTATAGTAATTTGAAGAGAAATTTCTTTGCATTTTTTATGTGAAACATGCAGAGTGTCCCAAAAAGGTCGGGACGTCTAAATATCTCGGGAAATATAAGTTTTACAGAAAAGTGTTTCAGACAAAAGTTATGTGGTTTAAAAATATCTATTTACTGATCCTATCAGTTTGACCTTGGGTTGCGTAGCCAAGGTCAGGTCAAGGTTACATTGATTTTCTTAAATGGAACACCCTATTTTTGATTCAAGAATCTAATAGCTGATGTCGAGAGCTTTCCAAAACGCTATAATGAAATATTTTTTCATGAAGTACTTTTCAAGTTATAATGCTTCAAAGTTACAGTATCGCCGGCATTAGCATCAGGGTTGGCAAGTAACGCGTTACTTGTAACGTCGTTACCGTTACAAGTTACTTTTTTCGGTAACGATTGGGTAACGACGTTACATTTTCTTTTGAGTAACGTTCATGATAACGCAGTTATATTTTTGGGGTAATGGTAACGATTTCACTAGTTACTTTTATCGTTACTCTATTTCTATTTACATAAAAGTTTTAATCGTAACTAGAGCGAATATACATTTATCAGTTTTATTTCTCGAGTTACTTTTGCAAATTAATAACGAGTAACGATAACGAGTTACTTTTCAAGAAAAAGAACGGTAACGTTAACGAGTTATTTTTTTAAGATAACGTTGCCAATCCTGATTAGCATTACCCAAAATATTTAATTTTGGAGACTGGCCAGTCAAGGTGAGATCGGTCGGTGGTCCGTGAATCTTGACCTTTTTCACGGACCACCGACCGATCTCGCCTTGACTGGCCAGTTTCCAAAATTATTATAAATATTTTGGGTAATGCTAATGCCGGCGATACTGTAACTTTGAAGCATTATAACTTGAAAAGTACTTCATGAAAAAATATTATAGCGTTTTTGAAAGCTCTCGACATCAGCTATTAGATTCTTGAATCAAAAATAGGGTGTTCCATTTAAGAAAATCAATGTAACCTTGACCTGACCTTGGCTACGCAACCCAAGGTCAAACTGATAGGATCAGTAAATAGATATTTTTAAACCATATAACTTTTGTCTGAAACACTTTTCTGTAAAACTTATATTTCCCGAGATATTTAGGTGTCTCGACCTTTTTGGGACACCCTGTATATTGAGAGAAGTTAAATACAAATTAAGACAAAGAAAATGCATATAAATTGGTGAAAATTGTAGAGAAGTTGTGCAGAAATCATGAATATATTTGCGAAATACAAAACGAATCTTTACTTACTCGTACATGTAACGACGTTCATAGATTATTTTTCAGAGAAAATTTTGCGTAGAAATCGAAGAAAAAAGCAATATTGAATAATACTAGTACATTTCTCTACAGTTTCTTTGCAGTTACTTCGCAGATGATTTTTTTTAGAGAAAATCTAGAGAAACTGAAGACAAAAAAACAGTATTAACAATCTGAAAATAGTATTGAATTTCTCTGCAATTTGTCTGCAAATATTATTCCAATCAAATTTACCGAGAAACTGTAAAGAAATTTTTCTATTTATTTCTTTGCAATTTCTGCGCAAAGTGGTTCCAATTGTAGGATTAACATCCGAGAAATCTGTAGAGAAATTGTAGAGAAATGTACAAAATAATAGCTGAAAAATATTTCCGTCAGGATTATGGCGTGTAAATATTCAAACAATTAAAATGCAGTCCAAATATCATAATATCCTTGCCTTCTCTATTCTGCGTTCTCTATGTTCCAAATTATTTCTCTGCCATATTTCTGTGAAAAGTAAATAGCTTTTAACACTTTTTGCAGTCTCCATAGATATTAGAGATTCTCTAATTAAAGTCATGAAGTAAGGTCAAGATTAGATTAATAGTAATAACATTTGTTAATAAAAATATATGACTGGCAGTGTACAATTACGTACATACATATCTATCTAAAATTATTCGACTGTAGTGTATACAGATGTATTATTTGCTGAAAAATCATTGGCGATCAATCAAAATTCGGAACGTTATTTCGTATCTCTGATTAGAGGATCTCTAATAGATTATAGAGATCCTGTAAAAATTTGGCCAAGCAGATCCTTCTTCTAATTAATTTTTCATTTATGATTCATTTCGAATATACTTTGGATGACTTCGTACATTTTCGGAAACAAGAAAAAGAAGAAAAAAGAAACAGTTAACTGAGACAAATTATTGTATTATTAACTGACAAATTATATATATTATTTTAGTAACAATCGGACTGCAAAGTGTCATTAAGATATTATTAGCATTAAATTTAGGGAGATTATTATTATTTCAGTTTGATTATATTGCAAAAAAGTAATCGGCGCTCAGTCTTATATCTGAATAAATTTATTTAAATACATATGGACTGATATAGATGTGTTATTCCAACATCTGACTTTGACTGTAAGTGGGCTTTTCTTACTTACAATTGACTTATTCATAAGACGGTCTTATTTCTAACTTATTATTGTAACTAATTAAATAATATTTTGCAGTATTCGTAGTTGGTTTAAATTTTTGGAATTACGTTTTTGATTTCAGCATATCTGAGAGCAACAAATTATATAGATACAAACGTTTACGTACACAGATGACCTTATTAAGCTGCTTTTGACTGCGTTCAAAAGCAGCTTAATGATTATTTCGCTCCATTTACATTTTTAGATTAAAGAAATAATCCTATCTTATAAAGAAATTTCCAATAAATGCAAAATGAACATTCTGCTGGACGCAGCCAGTACACACAAGGTTATAATAAATGGATAAAAATTATCTTAATTAGACCTTACGTAATCAATGATAATGCAAGATAAGATTATAGAAGACTTTATCAAAGATCAACTTTCTCCTCAACAGAAACAGAGAAAAGCCAGTTTGTTATTAGATAGTATAGATGATTGTTATAATTATTAAATAGTATTTTATGAATTAATATTGTTAGCAAGATATAATATACCAACCAGAAATAATATTGATCGATTAACGTCGATTTGATTCATTATTTCTAACGAAAACTGGATTACTTCAGAAATACAATAGCAAATAAATTTGAAATTCTTGTAAAAATAAATATGATAAACTGTTTATTTCTTTATTAATAACTTATTAGTACATAAAATTGAATTTTCAAAAATGATACTCAAAAATGATAAATATAATATTAAAAAATTAGATTTCGAAAAAAACCGATTAGAACACATTGAAATATATATACACTAAAAGTTTAATTAGATTTAGTTACTTCTCGTTATTTAGATACAGTTTTACTATACATATAAAAAGATAAAAAGAGAAAGAGCATATAACGATCGTATTTTTAATACAAATTGATATGAGAATTTTTTTTACCAAATGACAACCATGCTAATACAGGCCATTTCTTCGCAAACCACAGTGTAAATAGTAGCACGTAATTATAATAAGTTCTTACTATTGCTCCGATATAGGGTACAACTGAAACAAAAGAATAAATTAGCATGCAGGTAATATTGCTTGCTTTCCAGCAAGGACATAGTCAGACACTGTGTAACACAGTGTCTGACTGTGTCCTTGCTGGAAAACAAGGATTGAGAATGTGTCATATGTTTACTGTTTACACCAGGCCTGTGTAGTGGAATTCTGTAATTCGTTATGCAGTCGTTACGAGTTCATAACGACTCAGTTGCGCAGCTTGCCATATAAAATATCTGCGTTGCTGTCGTTATGAGCACATAACGATTGCGTAACGAGTTACAGAATTCCACTACTACAGCCGAGTTACAGATTCCGACCAATGTTGCC